TTGTCTCCCCTCGCGATAAAGGATAACGAGAAACCAACGCAGATCCATCATAAAAACAAAATAGCACTTCGAAGTGTACTCAAATTCTTAAGGAAGATGCAAAACCATTTGGATGTGGTATTGTTAAATATATGTTAGCACTTCAGCCATTTTGAAGTCGGTTTGTCTTTGGGAGAAAGTTTCTTTGTAATGTATGCAATGATATAGCAGTTTGGATCCGTTGGAAGTCGCTGTTTGGTGCTGAGTTGTACAAAGGTTACTGATATGCGCAGTCAGTATCCGGAGTCAATGAGGTATTTTTTGCAGTTTGATGAAAGATGGGGAAGAACTGGAGATTGTTGAGAATTATGATACGATCATGAACCAGGCGTGGTTTAATGTTGGGAGATATTCCAGTGAATGAAAAAGTTAAATTGTGTGAAGGTGGATGAGTGTTTGTTGGAAGATCCGTGGGAAGTCATTTGCTATTGTCAATTTGGTGATTGATTGATTGATGCTGCATTTTTTTATTCCTATTTTGTTTTTGTTTTTGTTTTTGTGTTTTTTATTTAACCTCATATCACTTGGTTTTTATATGTTTTCGTTCCTGGAGGTACCATATTCTTGAGACTTTAGGGACCCCAAGTAGTTTTTGTATCTTGTTTGTTTGTTTGTTTGTACTACATTCTTAAGAAAACGGAATGTTCAAAAAGCCGCCCCGAGTTGTAGTTTGATCTCTAACCAGCCTCTTTAACTCTGCCTTCTTGATTGTTTGGCTTTTCTTTGATAGTTAAAATTAGATTGGCATTGATGGCTAAAATGTGCTACTTTACCAATCTTCTCCAATTTTGATATTCAAAAGCTGGCACTACACATTCATATATTTACAAGAATTGCACCCCTATTTCTCAATCGAAGAGGCCACTTGGCTCTTCTCTTCATTTGCCTTTTGTTTTACGCTCTGTGTTTGTTTACAATCTTCAGCTTTTTAAACCTAAATCCATCTTCCAGAACTTCATCACTCAACCTCAGATCAAGATCAACCACCTCGCCTAAATGATAATCCTTGCCACTCGACAACAACTTTAAATACTCTTGCTTAACGGCATCCTTCTTCTCTGGACTAAGTCCGCTCCAATCTTTGGACAAAGTCAGTCTAATCTCTCGCGTTGTCAATGGCGATTTCTTGTAATCTGCGTCAGACTGAATTCGCTGCGTTTGTTTCTGAATATAATAATTAAACACATTGGTCATTTTCAATATGCCTCTAATTTCAACTTGTTGTGTCTGTGGATCCAACTTGAATCGTAATTTGTCCAGGACTCCATTGGCTTTGTTTGCTCTTTCTATTTCCTTGGCTTTTGCCTCTTCCTCGGTGTGTATTTTGTCTGACATCTGTTGACGAAATAACAACTGCAATTTCTTTTGCTCTGATTCAATTTTACTGGACATCTTCTTTTTGTATATTGTTGGGGTATAATCTTGACACCATTTATAAATAAATTGCTGTATTTTTTCATGATTAGTGTTTGTAGTAAATCGATTGCGCTTGAACTCCTGATCCAACAATAGACGCGGTTGTTTGTCTGTGTTGTATTTGAGAGGTATGAAGAACCATCCTAAACTAGTATATATTGCTGATGCTTCATTGGGATTAGCATGTGGATCAAAGTTTGCAAAATCAAATGCTCTCGATGACTTGTGTCTTATCCTAGCAAGGGTCCGTGGCAGGTGGAAGGAAGTCCCTTTCGGTATTATTATGCACGTTCGTATTTTCGAACTTTTCAATATCTGTAGCATTGGAGTATGTGTAGAGATGCCAGCGTTGTGCAAATGGTTCAAGCTCTTCGCAAAGATCGTCTTTTTAGAGGTGCGGACTTTCAAAAAATAAATTGTGCTAAATGTGGTAGCGTAGTCGGATATACACAGCACTATGAACAGATGGTCAAGTGGTACTTTAATTAAGCTTTCTCGAATGCGCCTCTAACCCATAGATGTGTTACCGAGACCATTCCTGGTCTCTTCAGGAATCCCTTAGCAGTGGGACTTTCTACACAACGCTGTTACGAGCTTGACATTATAAAAGCACACTCCAGTAATGCACTTACAACCACAAAAGCATGTTCCAATTAAAGCACTTTTGCATTACTAAATAACTCTAAATACAGGTTCAGTCAACTTTCTTGACATCCTCCTCCGCCTCGTTGTCATTTCCTTCAGTATTGGCATCTATTTGCACTTCACTGCGTTCAACTCCACCTTGGTCCTCTTCACCTACATCTGAAGCCAATGAGCTGAAGTCGATTCCGCCTGGTCCTCCACCAGCTTGACCCAACTGACTGGCTAAAGCACTCAAATCTGGAGTTCCACCTGCCCCTCCACCCATGCCACCCAAGAGCTGGGAAAAGTCCATTCCTCCCATTCCTCCTGGTCCTCCTGGTCCTCCTGGTCCTCCTGGGCCGCCCATTCCTGGCATGCCTCCCATTCCACCCATCATGTTTGCATCGTCTTCCTTCACTTCATCTTGCTCGTCTTCATCAACCCACTTGTCGAAATCGGTCTTGATGTAGTGGTACTTCAATTTCTCCTTGGTCAATCTTGGCCAGTATTCTTCTTGCAACTTCTTTTTAGCCAATACAAAGAACAAGTGGGCGCCATTTTCGGTATTAATTTTTGATTTCTCTGGATCTATTTCATCGTACAAATCAATCTTTAAGTCGTAGTGAGTATCTTTGTAAGACGATGAGTCAGCTTTAACAGTGAGGTAAGTTGGCTTCAAGTCAATGTGTAAATCTTTAGGGTCTGTTATTTCAACAGTCAAAAGAATGACATTTTTATCGGCCTCTGAATCACTTGAACGTTGAGCCCATAAAACGGTTGGAGTGTGTGTTTTGGTAGACATGATACAATGAAGCTCTTTCTCTTGTAATTGAATTTATGCACTGGTGTTGGATTCAATTCAGTGCAGGTTTATTCAAGCTGTGTATACTATTGCCGTTTTGTATTTTGAGTTTGTTGAGAAATCAATTTGCAATTTTTCTGATCGTTTCTCGAACCTTCTATTCTCTGTATGCGCAGGAAACAGAACACATGGACCTACACATGGACCTACACATGGACCTACACAAGGACCTACACCTATGGGGGAACCTGGATCTAGTATTCGACATAGATGTACTTGCCTTTTGGGGAAACCTTGGACATGGACTACGTATAATATATTACAGCTTTCAATCTTTGCTAGTGTCTACACATTTCCTTTAGTAAAAGGATACAAAATATACTAGCGCTAAATGAATGGATCGTACGCCCATTGCAACAAAGCTTGACGTTGCTTCGGACGACAGTTGTAATCCCCTTTGGCACAGTTCTTTTCAATCTGTCCCTTGTGGCGTTTGAAAGCTCTCCACCTTTTCTTTTGGAATTCATCACAATCACTGCGCCTTCCTAACCAGTATCGACAATACCACTGAAACCACCCACGAGGGTCGTCACCAATAACCCAATCGTTTTCCCTCCATATAGCCAAAGACTGACGGCTTTTGATTTTAAATCTGTTCAACTTGAAATCAGCAGGCTCGCCAACTTTGACCCGTTTGTCTCTGGAATTGTCAAACCACTCCTTGGGGAACTCCTCTTGGCAGTCATTCAAATACTTGCCCTCAAAAACACCCTCCTGCAACATTTCTTCTGGAGTTAGTTCCGGTTTGAAGTTGTCGTCGTTGAAATCGGGGGCTTTTTCGCCCATGGGTTCGGCAAGTTCATACTCGTAATCTTTTTGCATCCGGTCACTGACGATTATTTTCAAGCCCACCTTGTATTCCTTGAGACTCCTCATGTTGTAGAAGGGTCTGATATATTGTGTAAAAGGTAAG